CAAAGGTGAGGAGCACTCACCTGGGTGCCGTGGGAAGCTGGCAGCTACCGCCGCATCCCAGCCCCGGAGCCATGGAGCAGGAGGTGATCAGCTCCCTGCTCCCTCCTTTCAGCAGGAGAGACAATTGGCCACCAGCTCCTTTTCCCCCTGCAGCATTCCCAGCATGTTCATTCCATTTCTCCTGCCTGCCCACCGCCCCAGTGACCCCAGCCAGGACACCAGAGCCATGCTCTCCGTCAGCCGGTGCCCTCGGGAGCATCACTACAACACGTTCTGCTTTCCTGGGATTACCCTCGGGTTCCCTTCTCCTCCCCTCCATAAATATGGATGCACAGCTGCTGCTGGGAAGAGTCAATGCAAACAAAAAGGGGCAGGCTGCGAGCCCCGTGCTTCCCTCCTGGGCTGCTTCCATCCGGGATTCAGGCGGCTTGGAGGTGGGGAGGCGGAGCAGGATTGTTCTCCCCGAGCACCATGCTCAGGCGTGTGCAGACATGAAACAAAACAACACTAACATAGGCATGGGGAAGAGCCCAGCATGTACCAGGGAAGCAGGCAGCCACCCTGCGCCCAGGTCTGGGAGGAGGCATTGAGATGAAACAGCTTTAACACCTTCCCCAAAGGCCTCATCCCAACAGCTCCTCCTGCCCTTTAAAGGCAAGGATATGCTCTACTCCATACATTAATCTCCTCATCACCAAATTAATTTCCATCTCAGTTACAGCATGTTCAGACGCTATTAGTAAATCGTGTCCTAGCTGCTTAGCAACTTTTGTTGTAAGAATCCTATTAGATCATGTTTCAAACCGGCAGAGATGGAAGAGCTATTATCTTAATAAGTTAAACATTAAAGGCACTACGGTGGAGACAGGATTGCTCCCGCTGCTCACAGCCGTGCACAGCCTGGTACACAGAGCACGGCAGGGACCCCAACCCGCGCCCCGAGCATCCCGTCACACCCAGGCAGGGCCGCAGTGTGGCACGGAGCTGCTGCGCTCCTCCGGGCTGGTTACGGCAGTGACACACGGGGTGAGCTGTGTCGTGGCTGGATGCACACATATGCTGATAAGGAAGAATAATAACTTGTCAAAGATATATATGATATGTGTTTTCTTTGCAGACAGAATATATATTGGGATAATTCATCAACGGACTCGCCTGGCACTGGCCAGAAGAGAGAAAGAATCACAGTAAGAAGCAGCCAAGGCAGAACCCCCCCTTGGCTTCTTATTGCACCAAGCCATAAGCCCAGCTCAACGGGGGTAAAGCAAAGCGGCTTCCCTCCAGCCCCAGTGGAAACCTGCCTGCAAGGAGCAAGTGCTTGGCCCTATTTCTATATGCTACAAACAGGGGTGAGTGTTGAGAGGAAGGTCCTGGGCAGCCCCAAGGCAAGAGTGGAGCAGAGAAGGGGCAGGAGGTGCCACCAGGACTATTCCCATGCGTAAGCCCCATCGCATGGCCCTGTGCAGAGCTGCAAGCCAAGGACCCGCTCCTGAAGCAGTAAATGGGGATCAACGTTCTGGATAATTTTATGATGCAGAAACACGCAGCCTAATTCCATCTTCAGCGAAGGGAACAAATGCATCGCTGCTTGCTCCCTTCTTCTTTCTTCCCCTCCTTCCCGCCTGCGTTCGATGCCGCTCCATGTGGCAACATCAAACGGTCTCAGAATATTTTAGCTCCTGTAAAATATTTATATTCCAAAGCAAGGAAGGAAATTGGTCGCTTCCGAGCCATGTAAACACATCCCTCCTTCCAGCTGGATCCTGGCAGCGGAGCAGCCACACACCTGCACGCCGCTGCTCCGGGTACCACAGCCGAGCATCACCGGGATGGCAAGGACCACGGGTCCAGCACCGGAGGAGCAAGGGGAGGCCGAGGCACCCCTGCCTCCGTCCAACTGGAGATGAATTGAGCACTGCCATTAAAATGTCACCAGGCAAATTATTAAGTGAAGGTAAACCACTTCCGCGCCTCAAAAGCAAAGGCAATCAGTCCCACGCATGTCCCCCTAGGAAATTATGTGGAGTAATTAATCAAAAGGCTAATGAGAAATGTGTTTTCTTCCCCAGCTTAACACCGCATCATATTCTTATTAGCCAAGGTTATTACAATAGTAATCATGCATGCTCCGAGTTCAGATTGGGTTTTTTTGCTCCACTGCCACCAATTTAGAAAGCCATTAATGGGAAAGATAAACCCCGACACACAAAGCAGCCCTTTGTGTCTGTGCACCCGCCACCATCTGTGTGCTGCCACCCAATTACAGCCACAAGTGCTGGCCACGGTGGGACCTGCAGCCACACGGTGCATGGAGCCCGTTCCCGGGGTGGGAATGAAGCCCTGGACAACAGGAGAAGCTGTGGATGTGCAGACACGGGAAGCACATGGTCTGTGAGTGCTGCGGTTCTCGCTGTGTCAGCACATCTGGCCCCACTGTACAGATGCTGGAAGTGGGACCTGCGTTGTTCCGTGGATCTGGCTGTAAGTGGGTGATGTTTTGGGAGCGATGGGTCCCCCCTGCACCATCTGCCCATCCCGCAGCCCCAGAGTGCACAGTCAGCAGCACGGCGAAGGGAAAAGCATCCCTGCGTGCTATTCAGCATTAAATAACCCAGCCCCCTACAGAGAGAGGGGAGAAGAATGAGTCTGACAAAAACTACAAAGATTTCCTATGGCAAGTTAAAAATGCATTGAGCTGATTAGCTCGCTGGAGGGATGCTGAGCCAGAGCGGAGCAGGGAAACCCATGCTCACAGCAACAGCAGAGCACAGAGGACTTCAGTGCAGGAGGGATCTCGCACCTCCCCTTCACAGCTCCGCCTTGGGGCTCAATGTGTGAGAGGCAAAGGGTTGGAGCCCCACTCCTGCCCACCCAGGGGATGCCACTGATGCTCTGCACTGCACTGCTTGTCCCTCTGCCTCCCTGGGACGCCGCTGGAGAAGGTAGCACGAGCTCTGCAGGATGTCTGGCAGCTCCCCTTTGATGTGTGGATTAATGAGAACTGACACCGCTGGAGCGGAGCCTTCAGAAGCCCAAAGGCAGGGCCTGGGGCGAGACTGGAGGGGACAACGCGCTCTGGGCGCTCCCTTTGATTGCTCCGTGCTTAGCCCCAACGAGAGGCGAGGCAGCGGCGTGGGGCTGGAGCCGTGGCTCTGCTTGGAGCTGGCTGGCTTCAGCTCGTGCTGTGGCACCCCTGAGAGCCCCGGCGGGTCCCCCGGAGCTGCAGCACTGCGGATGGCTCTGCCAAGGCACCCCTGGCACATCATGCAAGCAGCAGCATCCCAGCAAGAGGCAGGGCCTGAGGCACTGGGACACCCAGTGCTGCTTCCATGCTTGTGGCTGGCTCCCTCCTATTGCTGCCTAACCATGGGGCTCACCTGAGTGGCGCCGGCTGGGAGAAGGATGCAGCGTCCCCATGTCCCCGGCCTGGGACAGGGCTCTTCTTCTCTATGTTGAAGACCTCATAGCACTCGAGCAGGATGGATCCGACACAGCGCTGGCCCTGCTCTGCTCGATTGAGCACACACGGAGAGAAACAACAGCATCACCATCAAAGCGCTCCAAGGAGGAGCTGATACAAAGTCCTTCCTAATCTGTTATTGGAATAACCTCCTCTGCTTGCAATGAGCAGCACAAGGAAGGCCGCATCACGAGCAGCAGCCAAGAGGTTCTCTTCCCCACCTTGCAGTTGCAGTGGGGGTCCCTGCTGCAGCTTGTGCTCTCTGCACCCGCAGTCAATGTCCCCATCGGAAAGGGGTCCTTGGGGGACCGCAGTGGGGTGTTTGCCCCTGCACCCACCACCCAAAGCGGTGGCACTGCAGAGCCCTGGGTGCCTGCAGCTCCGCAGCCCCTCTCTGCAGCGAGCCCTTAAAGAAGAAATCTATTAGCTGGTAATTACCTGCAGGCTGGAACACTCCAGTTTTATTACGGCGATAAAGCACTCCACAATTATCATCTGTGGTTCCTGCTGTAGGGTGTTTACTCTTAGAGCAACACCCGATTTATGGCTGCACCAGCCCGGGGCTGAGATGCCAGGCAGGCAGAGGTCCTGCACAGGCACTGCCCAGGCTGCTTGACTGATGGAGTTACCACTTCTGAAGCGTCTCCAAACTGAATATGGATGCACATCTGCCTCCGCTTAGGTGTAACAAATGGTTAGAGATTGGGTTAAATTACCCCAGAACTGGGTCCATACCAGCTACCCTGGTTGTGGCCCGGAGGACCTATCATGGCCTGCAAAAGGAAATGCTGCAGACTTAACTTTTGACCAGTGTTGTGCAGATGAAGTCCTCCACAGCCTTCTCATGGAGAGGATGAGCAGCCACTCCCCAGGATGCCCAGGAGCCCCTTCTCCATGCACAGGGACCCGGCCCTGAGCCTGAGGCAGTCGCAGGACCCATGGGACACAGGGAAACCGAGGCACAGGGAGCTTCCCATGCCCCGCGTGCGCAGCAGTACCCACACCTTGAGCCCTATTCCTCAGTGCCTGGCGCTAATCACCAGATAACACATCTCAACCATGTTTATCTCCATCCAGGCTGCTTTTCAATTTGATTATTTATCTCCCATTTAGCCTCTGACAGATCAAAGGCTCAGCGGAGGGGAAGCAGAGCCGGGCCGCGCATGGAAATGAGCCTTGATACATAATTAATTAACATAAAACAGTTTCATTAGGAGGTGGTGTTACATTCCAGTTTTTCTTCAACATTTAAGCTGTGTTAGGAGCAGGAGGGAAAAGGCAGCTCTGGGGAACCCTGGGCCTGGCATGGCCCATGCCAGTGGCCATGCTCAGCTCCCGCATCCTCTCCGGGATGGACCGGAGCGCATCCCCTCTTCCCTAATCGCCTGCAATGTCTCCTAGCCTTGATTATTAATCTGTTTTCAATTCTATTAAGAGATAGCCAGGAGAAAGAGTATCAATTTTAGATTAACAAGGTTATTAGCACTTAATTATGTGAGGTGTCTCTGTAATTGAAAAGGAAAAGAGGAAGCGCCATAAATATCCCCAGCCCCTGAGCTCCTGGGGGTTTGCGGGTGGCTCTTTATTCACGAGGCTCTGCAACCATAAATATTAAACATCTCGTGAAACAGATTACAAGGCAGAGAGAGGATGCCCTCTGGATATTCCGGCGTGGAATGCTCTTGCATTAACAAATATTCATTAACTGGGATCTGCAAAGTTATTTCCACCAAGACGCGGCAAATGAGCAGGAGAGAGAGGTTATTGGAAAAAAAGGGAGTCTAGAGTAAATATTATTAGTAATTTTTATCTCCGTGTGTCCCTAATTATGGAATAATTAGGGAAAGTGCACATATGCATATACAATCACTAACCTGTCACTCTTGGGATATTCATTCCAGCCCTGCAGCAGGATGAAGGCAGCGGGAGAAGCGATCCTCCTCCAAAATGAACTGCGGGCCCTCTGCCCTGGGGTACCCCACCACAGCCCCATCGCTGTGCTTCACGGGACACACACATCAGGCCCTTCTGAGTACCCATGACTGGGATTGCTGCTGCTTAGAGAGAAATTAAGGTGACAAATCAGGGGCTCTTTTTAATTACAAACTAAGAGGAGACCTCAGCAACAACAGCATGCGTTGTAAGAGCCCACTTTGCTGGAGCCATTAAACAAGGAGGTCAGAAGCTCTGTTGACTCTCACCAGGACAGGCAGAGCTGTCTGAAGCTCCGGCTGCGCCCAGCAGCCCTTCTCCATCCATCCCTCCATCCCTGCATCCACCCCTCCGGCCAGACCTGCAGGCAGGGTCCTGGGGTCCAGCAGCGTCACATACCCGCTTTAAGCCCTTAATCTGAACTAAACACATTACCCATGAGCTCATCAACAAAAATCTAATTATGCTGTGTGAGGCCAGGCTTAATTGCTTGTCCTTGACACGAATAATGCACCACGTAAGCCTATTAGCTGCTGTAAGCCTATTATTATTATTATCGTGTTCACTGTCAAAAGTACGGAACAGCGGAAGAGGGGAAACAGTGCTGTGCAATTAGCAGCAAATGCCAGACAAAGCAGCTCGGAGGGAGCAGGAGCCACCAGTCATTACTAGGTGCTTTTTGGGGCTGGTCAGGGGTGAAGCTGCACCGGGATGCTGGTGCCACCAGGGATGCGCCGGGTACCAGAGAGACACAGCAGGGCTGCAGTATCCTGACTCCTCCACAGAGGAGCCCAGCCCCAAAGCCACCTTCTCCATGGAGTTCCAACCCGACTCACCCCAAGCACTGCACAGCTCCAGTGCACGGTTTGCTGATCCCAGTAATGAAGCGCTGGGGCTGCAGGATCCGGAGGCGGCTCCCGCGCTCACAGCCTCCTCCTGCACTTATCACCACTCACAGGATGTTTACAATAATTTCTAATTTGTGCAATTATTAATCATTTCTCTATCTGCCCCATTTGCATAATAATTACTGTGTTCGGCGCCTGCCGTGACGGTGAATGACAGAGCTCCAAATTCAATTAAGATTCTTGTATGCAGGTTTTGTGCTTAAAGCTAATCACAGTGGCTGCTTGGTGCCAGAACCAGGGCAGCTGCCCCTCCACAAGCACCAATAAAGGGATCCACTTCCTGCGGCAGTTGCTGCATCTCCATCCCCCCTCTCATCCCAGAGCATTTCCCAGCAGCTCTGCTGCCAGGAGTGATCAGATGCATCTTCCACTTCTGCATCACCTAAGCTCTCCCATGCTCTTCTCGCGTAGAGAAAGAGCTTAAGAAAGTATCTGGTAAGAAACAAGTAAGAGACCTGCCCTACAAGAGCAGCACACTCACACCCAAGCAGGGCAGGCAGGAAGGCACAAGCTGTACCCAGGGAATCACCTCTCCCACTAAGGTGAATTCAGGAAGTCCACAGTATTGTTTTACATCTCAGAAGCAGTGCCTCTTGGGGTGCCCTGCAGCACTGCAGTCACACACAGCCCTTGCACCAACAGACTGACCATCACTGACTCCCCTCGTCCCTCCTTGTGGAAGAAACACCACCAAAATCAAGTACCAAAAAAAGCAAGCTGTTATTTCCGAGTGTACACACAGGTTCCAGGACTGCTAGAAAGGAAACACTGAATAAAAACCAGGGAACGAAGCCCCAAGACCCTCCAGCTCCAGGGAAAACTGCACGTTTGCTTCCACAGGAAACTGTCCCCACTAAAAGAGTGCTGGAAGAGACTGGAGAGGACCAGCTCTGCAGCAGCCACGTGTTCCAAATGCCTTCAGCATGAAGAACAACCTGAGATTTAGGACACCTGAAGACTTGTGAACCGCCCTCAGAGGACAAAGCATTTGGCATCAAACAAATAGAAAACAAATCCGTTTCTACAGTTTGTTAGAAGACAAACAAATGGCCCAGAAACCAGTGTCTCACGGGGAGCACCAGCGCTCCCCGTGCACCTCCACCACTGCGCTGCCCCAAGTCCTCGCCCCTTAGGCTGATGGGGAAACCTTCTTTTAGCAGCTCTCCTCCATTCAGCCTCTCCTCCCGGAACAGGATCCAGTGGGATGCTTGGTCCAGGCGGAGTGAGCTGCTCCTCACAGCTCTAGCCAGGCAGCAGCTGGGAGTGGTGCTGTGCGTGGTCCTTCACCCGACCTACATGTCCTCAACGCTCCACTTGTAGGCGAGCTCCTGAACTGCCTTCTTGTTGGCTATCCTGGCAAAGCGCTGCTGCTCGAAGCCGTTGGACCTGCAAACACCACCAAGAACACCATGGGCTGCTGGGCAGAAGCTTCTCTGAAGCAATCAAACTTCGAGACATTCTGAGCTTTCTGCTACTTTTACTGTGGCTCGATCTGCAGTAGCATCTCTGAAGCTCTTCACACCTTAGCTGATAGTACCAGCCCTTACTATTGGCAACACCCTCATCAACTGGTAGCTGTGAATCTTTACACCAGGAACTGTTTGAGGCAAAGCTCACCCATGTTCACTGTTACTCTAACACAGTGCTGCATCAGGACACGTACCTGTCCACGCCGTCCCAGCGGTGCCCTGGCCATATGTTAAACCTGTTGAGTGGAGGTGCTGGTCCGTTGTACCGGGGCTTTTCTAGGAACACACAGAGCAATAGAGCCGTTTACTCCTTCAGTGCAACCACAGTCACATCATCATCACCCCAGAGGTACATCAAGCAGTGTGTGTACAGCTAGCTACAGCTCACAGAGGGAACTCCCAAAGGCACAATCAAATCGGACTCTCCCGATTTTTAAGTCACCAGATCCTGCTCTCCAAGCTAACAAATAGTAGTGACCATTAGTGGTAACAAGGCAGTAGCAACAAACATTGGTGCTATACTCCATAAAAGTAGGCCTTGAGGACCAAGATGCATTTAAACAGCAGCTGCATTTCTGTGCTGCCAGGGCCTTAAAGCAGAGATTGGTGTAACTCAGAATCAAACCTTTCTTCTCTTTGTTCTCTTTGGCCTTCCTTTTTTTGATGAACTCAGCCATGGGGTCTCCCTCCCTCTCCTGCTCTCTCAGCATTCGATCCAGATCCTGGTCATCAATGTAACGGGCCAACGGCTTCTGCATCTCTTTTATGGCATCTTCCACGTTCTGCTGCTGCTGCCTCCCCTGCGCCAGCCTGGAAACAAACACAGAACCAAGTCATCGCTCACTGGGAGTTGCTCTGTTTGAAGGACACATCACAGCCCTGAACTTCCACTGTGTGTGCACCATTCCGAATACACATTCGGCCAGAGGGAATAACTGAGGGGATCTCCAGAGCAGGTGGAACACGTGGTCTCCCAGACCCAGACTCAGAACACAGTGACACACCACTGCTGGAAGTGAGACCAAAGAGCCCTGAGATGGTGCTGGGGGCTGTGCAGACCCTTACCCCTTTCCCCATCTGGCATACTGCTCATCCCTCTCGGACTTGGCTTCAGCTTTCTGCTGCTGCTCCAGCCGCTCCTGCGCCAGGTCCCTCCTGCGGCCCGACTTGTCTCGGAAGACGGTCTCAGTGTGTCGGGATTCCTCTGGATGGGACAGATGCCTCAAGTCACACGTCTGGCAACATTTCCATGACTAACGGCCCCTCACTTGGGTATTTTAGCCCCTGACTCATTCCAGGCTCTGACAGACTGAGAGCAGGAAGCAGAAAGCGAGCGGGTGCTCGTGCAGTGTTTTACACCCCTACCTTCCAAGTGCTTGGTACTCCTCTCATGCTTCCTGAGCTCCTGCTGTTCCCTCCGCAGCACATCAGCTGACACCAGGCCAGCTTTGACCCCCGAAAGCATCGTGTTTGCCTGTAAATCAAACAGAAGTCACAGTTAGCGCTGGCTGAAGCTGTCCAGGATCCAGAGGTGCAACAAGGGGAATGTCTACCTTCTTGGGAGATCCCTTGGCGTCACGGTGGCGAGGCGGAGAGAGGTCCTGGGGGCTCCTGGAGCGGCGCTGCTCCTTCCCGGCTGGCAGAGCCCGTCGGGGAGGGGACAGATCCGAGTCTGAGGACTGGCTGTGGTTGTGTTTGAGAGGACCACGCTTCGGGGACCTGCTGTGTACATGGCCCAGCCTGCGCTCTGCATCAGGGGCGCTCCGGGGGCCTCTCCGTGGGGATGGGGAGCTGGAGTCCTGCCTCAGGCCCCTCTGAGGCGAGGGCACCTGCCTGGGCTGTGATGTGGCTGGAGAAGCACCTGCAGTAAAGACACACACTAACTGAAACCCCCAGAGGTAGGCCGAGTCAGGACCACAAAAGGACTAAAAATGGACGTACACGATGTCAACTCCTAGGAAAATCAGACCTCGAGATGACAAGCTATAGGGCAAAGACAGGCATGTGACATGAGCCCGGGAATTCTCTGGATCCTTCTAAACACGTACTACCCAGAGACAGGGTTTAAACTCCAATTGCCTTTTGGACATGCCTAAGCCTTAGCCAGTTAACTCTCATTAATTCTAGTCTGGCTGACGAAAACATAGAACTAGCTGTACCAACAGAAATTACCATCTATCCACCACCATTCCATGCCTGCAGACTGCCAATTCCACGCCACTCATCCCTCAGGAGCACATGGACATGATCCCAGAGCAGGCAGGCAGCAAAGCACAGGACAGACAGGACAAACTCTTGCACACACTCACCTTTTGTTCTGCTCTGCTTTCTCAGGCTGGGTGACCCTGTCCTCCTCCTCCGGGGTGGTGAGGAATCCGAGTCAGAGCTGTACCTCTGCTTCCGTGGAGGGGACAGGTCTGGAGTGGCCTGGCGCTTCTGGCGCGATGAGGACTTGTCAGAGACACCGTGCCGGGGCTGAGGCTGCTCCCCTGGGGCCCTTCCTGACTGTGCCTTGTCTGTGGGCTTGCAGCTCCTCTTCCCTGCTGCTGAACTGCCCCTCTTTGGGGACACATCTGGGGAGTCGTGGCGCTGCCGCCGAGGAGGGGACAGGTCAGGGGAGTCGTGGTGCTTCCTTCTTGGTGGTGAGAGGTCAGGGGAGTCGTGGCGCTTCCTTCTTGGTGGTGAGAGGTCAGGGGAGTCGTGGCGCTTCCTTCTTGGTGGTGAGAGGTCAGGGGAGTCGTGGCGCTTCCTTTGTGGTAGTGAGAGATCAGGGGAGTCGTGGCGCTTCCTTCTTGGTGGTGAGAGGTCAGGGGAGTCGTGGCGCTTCTTTCTTGGTGGTGAGAGATCAGGGGAGTCGTGGCGCTTCCTTCGTGGTGGTGAGAGGTCAGGGGAGTCGTGGCGCTTCCTTCTTGGTGGTGAGAGATCAGGGGAGTTGTGGTGCTTCCTTTGTGGTAGTGAGAGGTCAGGGGAGTCGTGGCGCTTCCTTCTTGGTGGTGAGAGGTCAGGGGAGTCGTGGCGCTTCCTTCGTGGTGGTGAGAGGTCAGGGGAGTCGTGGTGCTTCCTTCTTGGTGGTGAGAGGTCAGGGGAGTCGTGGCGCTGCTGCCTGGGAGGCAGGAGGCTGCAGGAGTTGTTCCTCTCGTGCCTGGGAGGGGACAGGTCAGGGGAGTCATGGCGCTTCCTCCCAGGTGGGGATGGGTCCGGGGAGCCGCTGTGCTTCCTCCTCGGTGGTGAGAGCTCGGGGGAGTCGTGGCGCTTCTTTCTGGGTGGGGATGGGTGCGGGGAGTCGTGGCGCTGGCGCCCGGGAGGCGGGAGGCTGCTGCAGCTGTTCCTGTTCTGCCCGGCGCGGGCCGGATCCGGGCCCACAGGCGCTCTCTCAGGGGAGTCGTGCCGCAGCCCTCTCGGCGGGGAGCCCTCCGGGGAGTCGTGGCGCTGCCGCCTGCCAGGGGAAGCAAGGTGGGAACCAGAGTGAGAGCTGTGTTTGGAAATGAAACCCAAGTGGGATCTGTAAAGCCAGCAGGAGGGATCAAGGGTGAAAACAAGAGAGCCTGGCTGCTGTGCAACCACAGAACAGAGAACGAGTTGGGGAACGGTTTGGGTTGGAAAGGACCTTAAAGCTCATTCAGCTCCAACCCCCTGCCATACTCAAGGACACTTTCCACTAGAGCAAGTTGCTCCAAGCCCCATCCAACATCCCACAGGTGCTTTCAGAAGCGGCATCACCCAGATCTTTGACACTGCCCCTGTGGCACAGCAGGTTCACCTATCACACCGAAACCCAGAGCGCTGCTGCCAGTCCCCCAGCACAGGAAAGGGAATCCCTGTCCCTGCCACTTCTCACACTTCACAGCAAAGCTCTTAGAAACTGCAGTACAAGCGAGGCGCCACCAGGAAACGGGAGTTCACCCACAGAAGGATTCTCAGCTGCAGCCTGTACCTGGGGGCAGATTTGGCAGCGACTGAAACATCCGAACTCTGCGAGTCTTCATTCTGGTCTAAAGGAAAACAACCAGAAAGACACCGTCACCAGGGAGCTGCAGAGCCCATGCTCTCGTCAGCATTCCAAGGATACAGATATCTTTGATCTGGTCTCACCTCCGAGGAGTTTCCATTTAGCATTTGTTCGGAATTCCTCCATAAGCTTCACCTCATCCGGACGCTCGTCAATAAACTCCGCCACCTGAACACAGAAGAGCAGCTTTGGAGGGGGAGGAAGAAAGGATTTCCTCCCTCTGGCACAAAGAACTACCCATAACAGCACTGAGAACTGCTGTGTGACCATCGTTTCACCACCCTGAGCCTCTGCCCTAAAAGAACCTCCTTGCTGCCAGCATTCCCAGCAATGGCGCAG